AAATAAGAGTAACTTTTTTTAAAGCTTCATTACATTAAAATCTCCTCTTCATTGACTGCAGTTAATATTATAAAATATGAAAAACATCGATGCAGCACTATAAAATAAAATAAAAGTAACTTTTTTTAAAGCTTTATCACATTAAAAGCTCTCCTCTTCATTGACTGCAGTTAATATTATAAAATATGAAAAACATCGATGCAGCACTATAAAATAAAATAAAAGTAACTTTTTTTAAAGCTTTATCACATTAAAAGCTCTCCTCTTCATTGACTTTCTCGTTAATTTTCTCAGGCGGGATTCTGCAATAATAAAGGAAGTATAAATATTATTGAATTTAATAATGTAAAATTTATATTCAAATATGAGTCATCCTGATGAAATGGATCAATAAAAAGCTGTTTCTTAAATTGCATGTACCTTTTTTCCAAAATAAAGAGAAATGTATATTTGTATAAAAAAAATATACATAAATAAATATCATATTGAACTATTATATGTTTAAATTACCTTTTACTCTCCTTTCTCGCGTAAGCCTTCTGCAGGTCGTTTATTTTTTCGCTTATAAAGCGTCCAATTTTCTTTTTTCCTTTCATTATGTCTATGATCAACATGTCCTTTTTTTTTCATTCGATGAACGTAGGCATCTGAAAAATGTTTCATACATATGTAGATAAGATAAGTTCAAGGAAGTAATTTAATTAAAATTTAAAGTAAGCCTGATATTTGTAAATTTCAAAAAATCAAATAACTATAAATAAATAACATGATATTGCTACAATAACATAAAAAAATAATATAATACAACAACAATGATAATAATATTAATAATAATAATGATAATCATAAAAGAATTACAACAATGAACCTTCGAGTAATTTTATTTTTTTTGGTGTCAACTTCTTCCGGGGAGACTTTCCTGGTAGTTGTTTTAATGTTTTTTTGTCGTCTAAACAGCGATTCACCAATACATTCGGATTTCGCCATATCACAAGAAGTAAATCTTTTATAAACATCGAGTCTTCTTTTTCATTGATGTACTCCCATTTGTCTTTATCGAGAAAAATACCCTCGCCTAAGTGCACCTATGAAATATATAAAATGTTGTATTCAGCATATTGAGTATATACTTGATCGTATAATGTGGTAGAAAAATTATATGCCATGGTACGTTTTCTAAAAAGTATTTGTACATTCGTTATTTTATATTTTGTATATTTTATATTATTGTATATATTTTGTACATATTATGTATTATTATATGCGCGTATTATATAGTATATTTAATTCAATTATATATATATATATATATATA